CATCTGTAGGTCCCAGAGTTTAGACTGTGCACACAGGCCTATCTGCTGCCTTGCCACACCTGCGCAGACCGGCGCTGGCTAAGAAGCACCAAACAATCCAAGGCATGCTGTGTGGAGTTCCAGGAATGAAAATGCTTGTCACAGATTAGAATTTGGCATGCTGCAGTCATGGCTTTTTACTCTACAAAGTGCATAGCGCAATTTGCTAACTACTGCAAGTGCTGGAACTGTGAAATCAAATGGCCTTGAGTCAAGACTGGGGGGACAGGAAGAATTAAATTATGTTTCTATGCCAGCAGAGTTCCTTGCATCTTGAGGAGAAGCTTTGCTGTGGGGGGTCAGTGAGATCTTCCCCATTGGTGGTTTTTTGGTGTGGGTTTTTTTCCTATTCCCCCCCTCCCCTCACTGTTGCACATTTTAATTCCTACTGAGAGCTGCTGAACAGCAGAACTGAAAGCCAAACTTCTGGAGTGGCTTTAGGAGTGAATTTGTTTCCTGCTCAGAATTCTTGGTTCCCCACCCCTTTCTTTTTCCTTTCTTGGCTTTGACGGAATGAGAACTCAGTGCCTTTTCCAGGCCCGGTTGGCTTTCTGTGATCTTTTGTGAAAAAGAAAATTGTAGTTGCTTTGCTCAGTCAGTCTCCTTGTGGGACCTCCAAACATGAGGGCATCCTGTGGGGGCTACAAAAATAAACTGAAACAAATTCTAGGGTGATGATGACTATGTTTAGAAGCCTGAATAGATTTGCATTTTTTGGTAACTTTAAAGAATTTCCCCCCTACTTATTTCTTTCCAGGTGAAGATGTCTGTGATGGGTTTCAGGAGCCTAAAAGTAATGTTCAGTAGGATGAATGGGATTTTGATAGATAAGGATATATGTACAAGAAGAAGAGCAGTGACTTTATCCCTACTATGATATCTGTTCGAAGACATAGGTAGAATGTGTAATTTATATCTAAATTTTGTGAAGGGCACCTGGATGCCTTTTCTCCTACTGTGTACGGTATAAGTGCTGAATCATTTGGAAATAACTTGTTTTAACTTATTGGTTGTATTTATTATAGGGATCAAACCCGTGTTTTGGTTATGGCAAGATATGTTGCTGTATCTTCAGCTTTGCAGTTTTTACTAAACAGCATAAACAGAAAAGATGAAATAACAATGACTGAAACAAAAAGGAATGCTTTTATGTGTACAACTCCATGCAGTCAAGCATTTTCTGAGTCTTGTACAGGAGGAGATTTTCATCTACAACTATTCTGCTGTCTAACCGATTTGGCAGTATTAGTTTTCTGTGGCTCAGTTGGAGTCATTGGTGAGTCTTCTCTAAGAAGACTCGTGAACAGCTTCAGTAGCAAAGTACATTGTTAAAACAATCTCTGTCAGTAGGGTTTTTTTAGTATTAGTATTTCCAAAAGTGATTAATAAGGAGTTATTCTGAAAGAGATGGAGCTTGCAAAAATATTTATATTTTTTCTTGTATCTGAATTTAAAGGATTCTGGTAAACCATTTGTTGAAACTACAGAGCCTTTTGTCACTGAGTGTGGACAGTGACCTGCTTTGTTTAACTTAATTGTACTGATGTACTTTTGAGGCAGTCTGCTGGAACCCCTCCAGAGTGCATACAGAGTTAGCACATTCGGTGACTGGCAACAAGTACAGTTTTTACTGTAAAGAGGCATATGCTTAGAAGGATGACACGTCTGAATATTGCAATGAAATGCAATTGCGTTTTTGGTAGAGATTGTTCTCTCCATCTGAGCAAGGAGGTCATTAAGCATGAAAGCAGTGCAGGCAGTTAACAGGAGATGTATTTGTGTGAAAGCAGAGAGTCCATGTGAAACTCTTTGCCAAGGTATCAGGGGCAGGTAAGACTAAGTCTTACCAGGCAAGCACTGTTGAATGCTTAGGGCCTCACTTACTCAGTGTGATTTTGAGAAGTTATCTCCACTTGGATAGAAGCCAGATCATCTGAAGATAGACCCTTCCTGCTGCCTGATGGAAAACAATAGTGGTCCATCTTTCTCTAGGTCCTCAGACATGGACTACTGAGACCATCAAGCTGGGCAGGAAGCAGGGCCCATGAGAACATATGATAGGAGATACTCATGGAGCTCATTACAGCTTGTCCTGTTATCAACAGCTAGATCAGATAAGGCAAACTTATGCAAACTCTTTAAGCATGCTGGGGTTTGTTTTTTTTTTTCTGGGAGTCATAAACCCTGCCAAAGTCAGCTTTCATTCTTCTTTTAAAGGTACGTAGGATGAGTTAAATATGCTTCAAAGCAGCCTGTGCTGTGAGTGTTTCTAGCATAGAAATACTTTGCTTCAAAAGCTGTGGATCTTGTCACAAATCCAGAATGACTTTTAGTCTTCTTCAGACTTGCGCCTGTATCTGCTTTGTGGTTACAGGCTATCCTGTAAGATATTCCTTTCCCTTCCTGCAAAGAAGCATTCTGGTCCCGTAAACTTTATGCTGTGGGCTGCTGTAGTATTGAGACAGGTGAGTAATAAAGAATCAGAGACGTGTTCTCGGTTGCACTCTGGTTAGATTCAATGGGTGTTTTACGTGAGAAAAGTAAGGATTTGGTTCGTGCTGTAGTAAATCCCACTCAATCCTATTGAAACCATGCATAGCCTCCAGTGATAGAATACCTACTGGTTCTGTCCCTTGATTCCTGCATGCAAAACCTTTCTTAAGTTACCTCTCATGCGTGACCCACACCTAAAGCCAGATGTGAGGTAATCTGGTGCTGATGCATGTTTTAGCAGCTGATTATCAGAAGGAGTTGTAGAAAATTAAATCCATGAGTAAATCCTGGTTCCAGCTGTAACAGTTATTTTTCTTCTTCCTAGTAGCTGGTGCAGAGCTGTGTTTTGGTTTCAGCCTTGAGAACAGTGCTCATAACACACTGATGTTTTAGTTGTTGCCCAGTAGCACTTACCCTGATCATGGACTTTTCAGTCTCTCACGCTCTGCCAGTGACGAGGGGCACAAGAAGCCAGGAGGAAGCAGAGACAGGACACCTGACCCAAAGTAGCCAAAGGGGTATTCCATACCACAGCACGTCACGCTTAGCATATAAACTGGGGGGAGTCACCTGGAAGGTGAGATCACTGCTCAGGTCAGGCTGGGTATCGGTTGGCAGGTGATGAGTAATTGCATTGTGCATCACTTGTGTTTATTTTTATTTTTTTTCCTTTCCCATTTTAGTTTTATATTATCTCCCCTTGTTACTTCTAGTATTATCATCACTAGTAGTAGTTTTATATTATCCTTTAGTTACTGGACTGTTCCTGTCTCAACCCATGGGGTTTCCATTCTTTCTATTCTCTTCCACATCATGGCCTGGGGAGGAGGGAGTGTGGGAGGTGAGTGAACGGCTGCGTGGTGCTGAGTTGCCAGCTGGGTCTAAACCATGACAGTCCTTTTTTGGTGCCCAGCGTGGGGCACAAAGGGTTGAGATGTATTTTACTAAGTAATGAAACTGCCTCAGTTGTTCCTCTTCCTTTAAAGGTACACATATGCACCTCCTCAGCTGTGGGAAATCGGGCATTGCAAATGTCAGCTCTGATGAACTGTTTCATAAAAATGAGATCTCATGCCTTTTCTCAAAATGGATGGTTAATTTAATGTATGTCTGCTCTGCAGAAATGTTTCTTTTTACGTTTACCTGTTCCATTTCTGAAATAGGCTCATTTTATAGGTCTCCCATAATAAAAACAGGTGAACATACTCTAAGGGCAGAGGCACTTCTACTATTCACTTGAGCTTTGTTTCCCTCAGGTTGACAGATTCACAGCCATTCCTAGAAGAGTCTGTTGTTAACCCCACTGCCCCTCAAAACACAGTATTTTCACTGTAGAGCAGAGGATTAATTTCTTCAGCCACTTCATTGATCACATGCTTCGAGGCCAAGCCTTAAATTCTTCCTTGGCAGAAATGAACAAGGTCTCTCCTTGTTTTCCCTTCATCTATAAATTTCTAACCATACTGACTGATGGCTAATGGAGTGTGTACAGAAAGTGCTAGAGGCTGAGATGTTTTGCCTGTGACTCAGCATGATTTCTCTGCTTTTCAACAAATACCACTAATAATTGTCATATTTTATTAGACTTGGCATTTTGTTTTCTGTTTCGTGCTGTGTATTATGCTAATTTTGAAAGTGAAATAAGAGAAAGTGTGATTCTGTTCTTGCATATATTAGTGGCAAAATATACCCATTTAGTTCAGAGTTACCAGAATCCAGTTCCCAGTTATAATGCTGATGCCTGTAAATAGGTCCTGGTTGTAAAGGACTGAACAAAAGTCACAAAGAAATGAAAGGTTAATTAATATTTGCTATGCCCTCAAAAATCATTGATTGCTCTGAGTTATGCTGGAACTTTTTCAGCATAGTCTTATAGCTTTTTTGATTTTTGGATTTTGTGAAGGATGTTGGTACACTGTTGGCGAATGTGCCATTTAGAATGGCTTAGTTGAAGCAGATGTTTAATGAAATGGCTTGATGCTTTCATTCTTATACAGGCTGACCCTACCTGTTTTGGGATTGAGCAGGAAAGAGCTGCTTTTAAAAGAAACTTTCAGGCTGAGAAGCAGTTTGAATGAGCATATTGCAGGGCAAGTCCATCTTAGAATAGCAACTATCAAATGTCCAACAAAAAATAATAGCAATACCAATGCCAGTCACAGAATACTGCTTGCAGTGAAAATAAACCTGTGAAGTCTACTGTTTAGGTGATGAATTGACTAGATCAGTTGTTTGTATTGATAGTTCCAAAGCATTTGAATTGTTTGTTCAGAAGAGCTGGTTAAATAAATAGTAAATAAATAAAGGCCTTCACCTGAGAGTGTTGAGAATGATTATCTCTCCAAATGAATGGAAATTTATCTCAGTTATGTGAAAAGAACCCCATAGTTTTGGTGTTAATTGAAGTGAAACTAAAATAATAACTTTACCGTATAGATCTTTAATACAGATTTCTTTACTCTTTTCAGTGGAAGAACGGAAAATGAAGCTCTAATAAGGTAAGAATGTTTTATTCCACTTTAGTAAGTTATTCAAGTTAATTGGAGGCAATTTTTAACAAATATGCTCAGCATTTCTGAACACATCCTAAACATAGTGTGGGTCTGTGAAAAGGAGACAGCATTGCAGAATGAGTGTAAAAACATTTGACTGTTTTTTATTGTTGTTAAGCCACTGTTTGGTCTTTTAATCAAAATAAGATAGATTACTACATAGATTTGGAAACTTCTTTGTGCCTATGAGAAATTTACAGGTAATTATTTTTCAACAGATTAGTTTTTACTACTCAGTCAATTAAAATCTTCACTTGTAAGGAGACCTTTCTTACAGTTTGAAAATTAAATGCTAGAGTACATGCTGAAATAAGTAGTATTGTGGCAAATTTGAGGGTTTTATGTATGGCAGTGGGAGTTTACATAGTCAAATAAATGAATTACATAGTCAAATAAATGTACCTGTAGAGGACACGTGAACTCTTCTAGAAGTATTTCCTCTCCTATATGGCATGATTCAGGCTGCATCAGGAAGTGGATTCTCTGTGCATCTGCTAGATAAGCAAAAGGCAGACTAAGGTCTTTCAGTACATTATCAACAGCAAGGGGTGTTAAAAAGTGGGGATTTATCTCTTTATTTCTTTCATTGCAAGTGAGGATGCTGACATTCATGTGCTGTGTTATCTAGAAAATGATGCAGCTACGTCAAATAACATAGCCAGGTGTGTGTGATAGCAAGTTGTTCTGACAGGCAGTGCCAGGATGAACCTGTTCAAAGCATTACAAAAATGCATAATTACTTTTCAGTCACAGGTGATGGTTTCAATTTTAATACCCATTCACAGGATGCCAAGGAAGGGAAGTGTTGTTGGTTACTGTTTTCCTTTCCTCCCAAATTAGCCTGTTTTGGTTTTTATAGGTAGTTCAAGTAAAAGCTTGCAGAGCTCTTAGTTGCATTTCCTGCACCTGTTTCTAGTCAAACACCTTCCAAATGGAAGTGTGACTAAAAGGAATTTTTTTTTTAAACCTGATGACATTTTAAACCAGTAAAAGTCGATACATCTACATAAACTGTGTTCCTTATTTGCAGATGGGCATCCTTGGAGTAGGGAAGAGGGAGGCTAAGAAGGAAATCAGTTAAGCTATGCAAAATGTAAGCTTTTTGATACCACAAGTGAGTAGAAATGTGAAACATTAATGGAAAAACAGAAGTGCTGTAAAAAAGTAATGAGGTGTCATATCACATATTTTTTGTTGTGCAAAATTTTAAAGTGATATAAGTAGCAGTCGAGCTTTGCAGCTGGTGCATTGTATTAGTACATGGAGAGCATGTGCAAGTATTTGCAGTTACAAAGGTTTGTGCATACATAGTATATCTGAGATAGCAAGATGCTGCCGTTCTGCACCAAAACACTGTGAAGCACTGGAAGTCCTTCTGGAGTAGGGCTAAGGAAGCTAAGGAACTTCATAATGTGTGGGGAATCACATGAGCTGTACAGGGATTTAGTAAATGCCAGAAGAAATTCTGGTTCTGAGCAGTCTTTGTACGCTGATCTCATCCACATCCATGATTCAGGGAGGACACAAGTCCTCCTTCAGTCTCATTACCAGGACTGAGCCATACAAGAGCTGGGCAAACGCTGCAAAAATGGATTAAGCTTGCTGTGTTTGTAGTTGATCACCTAACACAAGAGAGCCTTATGTGAAGCCTCTGAATCCTACTGTAATATAAATGTCTAAGTAATATGCTTAAGTAATATGGCATGACAGCAGTAGTGGAATTTTACTCATTTTGTTTCCCAGAGTCACAACTGGAAGTATTTTCGGTACAGATTGCTCAATCCTGGATTTCTGCCTTGGCAGAAGTACTGGGTCATTCTGTTAGCAGGGTTTTTATATGATTTTGACATACAAGTACTAGAAAACCACCTGCCATCAGCCATCTATTTCTTTAACTATAGTATTCAGTAAGTATTGATCCAGTTTGAGCTGGAATTTATCAGTTAAGTTGAAAGTGAAACTCTGCAGATGGTGGTGCTATTGATCCCAAATTTCCAGGTCTTACAAATGGGTGACTGCTATGAAAGCTGGAAAAGCTTGTTAAAGATGCTTAGTGCGCTTAAATTGACTTTTCTCTTTTTAGTCTCTATAGTCAAAAGCTGTCTGTAATAGCACTGCAGCTGCTCTGCGTTGGATTCAGGAATCCCTGTTTTGATTTGCCAAACAGGCAAACTGTTTATCTCAAGTAAGAGAATTTTGAGGTGTGATGTGGTTAGTATCTAAAAATATCTGTGTAGGGAGATAGGATAGGGCTCCAACAGACAAAACCAGCGAGATAAGCAAGAGGAGTTCAAGTTGCAAATGTGATACTGTAGCTGTAATTAACCATTGGAAAAGCTTAGAAAGGAATGTGGTAGATCACTTGGAGTAATTAAATCAAGATTAGATCTCCTTATGAAATATCTTCTCGTAGAGTTACCAGTTCTTGGGCTTTGTGAATAAATTGCTGTGTGAGGTATTAGAGCCTGTGCCAGGCAGGAAGTCAGACCAGATTATCATCAGAGTTCCTTCAGGCCTTTTAAATCCACATCTCCACCAACAAAGGCTCTTACGTGGTACAGGCAGCCACAAGATTTCCAAAATCAGAGCTGGAGCAGGTCACTCTTGTTTCAGTGGTGAAGGGTTGAAAAGTCTTTGAGCAGGTCCTTGAAGAAATGTGGTGGTGAGTACGGTGCTGCTGAGTTTGCAGGCTTTGTGTGCTACAGTCATATGTACTAGGACTGAGCCAACTTCTGCTCTTTTCTGGTCAGTCCATGGACACATCTTTCTGCATGATCTTCCAATATTTCAGCCAATTTACTTAGTAGCTTGCCTTTTGTGTTGAGTTCACTGAAAAGTCATGATTTGTCTGTGACGTTTATTGAATCCTTTCTGTGATATAACTAAAGGCCTGAATGAATTCAGAACCCTAACCCTAACATAGGATCTTCTATAGCCAATCTTACTATCTGTATGAGCAGAAAGGGCAGGGTAGATTTTTAGCAGATAAGTAGAATTCTTAGTATAAAGTAATCTGCTTTCCCCAAAACTGGAAATAACTTGCATGTTTGCTCAGGAACCTCGATAGGATACTGAGAGACAGAGGAGGATGTTTCTCTTCCAGTTCTCATCAGCTAAATGGAAGTGTATCCGTGTGTTACTGGGTAAGAGGCAGCAGATCCTTTTTATAGAAAAGATAATAAAATATGGTTGATCCTAAAACTCATTTTATGCTAGAAGAAACACCAAACACCATTTTGAACAAGAATAGCTCTGACTTTGTTTCTTTGATAAGCTCATTAATTTCCACATCCAAAATTAATCAGGAGTTATGGTGCAAAATCTTGCAAATAGAAAAATCCTTCAAGTTGAGCTCAGAGTTATGTCATCCTATTGCACTTACGTAGCATAGCTTCTGTTACAGGACTGTACAGTGTAACTCCACAGTAGCATGACAGGAGGAATAGGTAAGAGTTCTGCTGGTGGTATGCGTTCATGAACTGTTACTCAGGAGAATTTTTCATGTAATTCCAGCTCTATTGAAAAACCTGTAAAAAAGCTCTTCTGTATAACTATCCAGGTAATTTGAGAGTGAGCCCAGGCATAGCAGAGGATTTTGTGTTCCATAATACCTGTTAACCTACCTGCCGGCAAGTAGTGGGTTCTTGGTACCTGGCTTGTCATTCCTGTACTCTGACTATCCCTACTCTCTCCCTCCCTGGACTAAAGCATGTGTATGGTTTACACATGGTAGTCTAAACCTGAATTGAGAAAATCATTAGACTAAACAATAAAACAATAGGAAAATCAAAGTAGAGAAATGCCCTTGTGTTTGATAACCTGAAGTAAGGTGGCTGAGGTAAGTCTGCATCCCTGCACAGGGAGGCATCTGCTTTCCTACATGTCCAGAGAAAAGAGAAAGGTCAGGGAGGGCAAGAGATTAGAAAAAGATAAAAGAAGGGTAGTTACCCTTGCTAGTAGGTAAGGGATTCGTGGCTGTGGTGAAGTAGAAAGGAGAGGAGACTTTAGTTAGTCAGGAGTCAAACATTTTTGGCCGGTTGCTGTGTGCTAACAGTTGTGGGTTTTTTAGTATGATTTTTTTTTATGCACCATCTCTCCTGAAAATATATTCCATACCTCTGGTTTTCACAAATTCCTGATAGGGTAATACTGACCAAGGAGAGTATTTAAAAACAGACTGTAGGATGTCTTGTTTTCATATGTTTTTTCTACCACTGAGTCACTTTTAATGGGTACTTCAGTACTGAAAAGGAGTGCAGGAGGCTGTGCCATGGAAGAAAATTGTTCTCTCCATTAGTAAATGAATTTGAGCTATCAAATTGCTGCTGTTTTCTTCCATGTGAAAGCTTGTGGCTGTGTCAGTTAATGTAAAGGAAAACAGTCTTTCATACTACAGAAGAAACACCTCTAGTGGACAGGGGTTCACAAGCCTGCAAAATTGATTTTGGTTATCCCTGAGAGCTTATGTGGCATTTTTCTTTCTGTTCCGGCAACGCTGTAAGAGCACTCCAGATGACAAAAAGGAGGGGTTGTGCTGAGGTCTGGGGAGCTCCTTTGGCTGGTTTCCCATGCACTGCTAGTCCCAAAGTGGTTATTTATGCTAAAGAACTGAAGTTGCTTTAGAAGCTCAGTTTTACTGTGCTTAAAAGCTATTGAATCTTGTTTCCTGCACTTTGTTTACTTAATAACCCCTACCCAGGCATCCATGATTTTGCCTGGGTAACTTGCTGTTCTCTTCCGAGAAGTAAATATACCTTTTTTTGTCATTTTTAAATGACATGCTGGGTTGGAGCGCAGCTCACTGTAAAGAAGTACCCTGGTGCTTACACTGTGCTCGCAGTGTGTGCTCAGATGAGAGTTAAGAGTGCTGTGCTCACTGTTACATAACTTTGCAAAAAGTGTCGATTTAGGGAAATTCTGCTGCTGTGAGAGAACAGGAGCATCAG